TTGGTAAAAATGAGAGGGGAATTTTTTACGATAGCATCAATCAATATGTATATAAAATATATACTATAATTATAATTTAAACGGCTTTTTAGTTAAAATCTGGTATAGAGTGCAGTCATAAATCATAATATTTTCTAAGCAGCTTCTGGTGGAATAATGAGGAAATAATCAAAATCGACGCCTAAATATGTCGGGTTTGTTTTCAACAATTTTAAAACTTTGACTTACAAGTCAGAAAACAACCACCACACAACACATATTAGCAAACGACACAAAGACCCAAATACGGCGCCGGCCGGTGGAAAATGGGGCTGAGACTGTGATTCAGGGCCAGCCGTGAATGCAAGGAAGTGACGTGGCAGTTACAGCGAAGATCGATTAGGACAAGGCTTGGATTATGACTAATTTATATTTAATTTTAATTTAATTAACTTTTGCTTTTACACCTCTGTTCATTATATTACAAAACCTACTAAATTGTTGTGTCTCCTTCTTTGAGTTCGTTGAACTAGACCTTGTTTGGGTCTTCTTGTCCCTACTTGTAACTAACCAACCACTAAACTAAACATTAATATTCAGACCCACATTGTATACTTAGATCAGATAAGTCAGATTTTTTTTTTTCCAAAAATCATTGATAAATATTTTAGATAGATAAGTCCACAGATTTGGTATAATTTCAATCATCATGTATGCAAATAATACTATGAACAATAATACTTAAGTAGACCCAATTTTTTTTATTTTTTATTTTTTTGTGATCATTGGGGCTATTTGGTCAAACTTGTTTGCATTTCAGCTAATTTTCAAGTCTTGAAACTACCAATTAGGTAAGAACTCTAGTTGTCACCTCTATTAGTGTTTAGGGAGACTCGAACTCAAGAGTTCATAAAATCTTTTTTTATTCTTTTATCATCATACCACCCAATTGTGATCAAGTGGACCCAATTGTTATTTCACTAAGACAGATTTCGACATTAATTTTTATTAAACACAAAGCGCATTTTCCAGAACTACTTGGCGGTGTTTGTGGAATGAAGACAAACCTCAATGAAGATATCATAGAGAGAGAGAGAGAGAGAGAATGCCCATGTTATTTAAATGAATTTTCCTTGTGGATTGTTGATGCATGATTTTGACACTAATGACTCGCGTGTGCAAAGTTCTAAGGCGTTTTTAGAAATTATACGTGAATGATTATAATCAAATACAAAGACTGAATAATAAATAAGAGATGATTTTTAAAGTAGTTCGGATGCTTAAAGCAAATCATACGTTCACTGTTTCTTTTATATATGAGAGATTACAAGAGGTCGCGTATAGCAAACATCGAACAAATATACAGTAACTGAGTATTAAGAGATAATATCAAATCAGTCTCTCTTCTGTAGGTTATCTTTACTCTGAAAATAAATATTACAATCAGAATAAGAGTGTAATCTCAGAATCCCGAAAATGAGAGAGGGAGTCCTCTATTTATAGTAGAGGAATTCAAGATAATGATTACAAATCTGCAAATGGATAGGTGTCGTGCAAGTCATTCTGATAACTTGAGAAATATTCTCAAATTATCTGGAGCTTAGACAAGTGTGTGGTCCTTAGTCACTCATAGATAAAACTTGAATCTGCTAAGTTGGTGACAGCCATATTTTTTCTGTCATGGAGCAACATAGCAACTCTTGGACAGCACAAAGCCTTCATGAACTTTGATTAGTGTATGGTGTATGCTGACATAGGCTAACGTTAGTCCTGTTTTTTAAGCATAACACCGATGATGCCCGTTGCTTCCCCAACACAATTTGGGCAAAGGATTCGGAATCTTTTGGTGCAGTCAAATTGTGGGTTGATTCCGGATAATGCCAGTCTCTGCCAAACTTGTTAATCAATAACGGTGGCTACGGCAAGTTATAGTTCAACTGAGAAGAAAAGACTAAATCTGAGTGGCGTCAAAATGGGCTAAGATAATTAGAATCTGAAAGTTGAACAGTTGTAGGAGCCGCTATTTGGGCATGAAGTCAGTCAATTCAGAAGCGAAAAGAGAGAAGGAGAATAGAAGATTTGTCACGCCAGGAAAAAATCTAGGGCAATAAATGAGAGTCCATTCGGTGTTACTAACGGTCAGAGCAAACCAAAGAATAGTAGGAAACATGTGGTCAACTATTTTTGTGATGCAGGGTTACATCACTGTCCTCTATCACGATTACTTCAGTTTAGCAGTCAAGATCTTTGATTTCAACAAATTTTTAATCGTATTTTTCCATTTTAATCACATTCTATAATGGGTTTGCTTCTACTCCTTCCGTACGATCTGTATACTAAAAAGTAGTAGCAGAAGTTCAATGAAGTTTGTTAACAATACTGCTGATACTTATGATTGTGAGGAATTTCCACCCTTGACTTAGAAGAATTTTACATTCATGTTTTTCAAATTGATTAATCATAAGATCAAGGAGTCCACCCAAGACTTCGAAGAGATGGCTTCACTCATTCATTCATGTATTGATTAATCCCAATAATTCCACAGAAGACGAAGAAGAAATGGGATTTTAGCATTAATGGTTTACCAGGCCACGAACCTCGGCTACTATTTGCTTCCAATTTACAATTCAGCAGAAAGTAAAGCCGACCATCATTTCAAACTATTATGCCCGCCCACCACGTTCCAATTTATATCAATGTATAGCTCATGTTTGTTAATCGCCATTTTCATATTCTAGGCATATTAAAGTTATTAAGGAAACACCAGTGTTTTAATAATTAACTCGGGTTGAAACCTGATAAAGTGGCCAAGTCCTGGGCTAACTGATGGGTCAAACCAGTATCTAAATTTTTTAAAATATAACATAAACATCCCTAAAAATGATATATAAGTCCTTATATATTTTAAATCTTGAACACACCCCAAACACCACCACCTACATCAACAACTCAAGGCAAATAGGGTCTATCTCTGACTACTACAACACTTCCCATAAAACACTCCCCTTAGCAAAAACCCATCTCACCTCTCCCCGCCTCGCCAATTGCCAACAATAGCCCATCATTGCCACCGATTTAATTTTGCAATTTTTGGTCGATTTACTCATCGAAAATCACCCCCGTCTTCACCATTGCACTCATTGACCCTTCCTCTTCAAAACCCTCAACATTCCAACCTTAAATTGTTTGCCGATCATCGTCCTAATTTCTAGGATTTTTTGTGAAGAAGAAAATTGCTAACTTGACCTGATGAAGGCACAAAGTCCCAATTGAATCGGTTCAACCGGATGAGCCAAGTTAATTGTTTTAAAACTCAAATTGGAGGACAACCTGTTTTGCTGCTCAGGTCACGAGTCGACTGGTCCAACCGGTGGATCGGTTGGTTGGATCGATGATGTCATCATGATGATGTCAACGCTTCCAAAAAAAATTCAGATTTTTCTTTTTTGAACAAGTTTCAAATTTTCAATAATAGCTTAATTAGAGCACCAACATAATTCAAGTTCAATAACCATCCAAATATGATTTAAAAACAGTCCCAACATACAATATAATATATTATAGCTCCAAGAAAAAATTACAATTGACAAAAACTTTTGTAGATTACAACATGCTTGAAATGTGGAAACAAAATGCTATTCCAAAAAGGCACCTTAACTTTTAATTTAAGCATTATATCTCTTTATTCTCAAATTTGGGTAAATTTGGGTTATTCAACCACAGGGCGAAAACACAAATAATATGAGCACCTTCAAATTATATTCCAAATTCGAGGAAAATAATTCTTTAACTTTCAATCAAATAATCAAAACAAACTTCCAAATCTAGAGGATTCTGCCAAAAAAAAAGTCAACTTCCAATCAAATAATCAAAACAATACTTCAGAATCCAGAAAAAGAGAATCAAATAAACCAGATGTATCTTAAATTGTCGACGTCATCGATTTTCAGCGAGAGAGGGAGGCGTTGTCTTCATCGTCAAGCAAGGAGGGAGGCGTCGTCGTTGTCGTTGAGCAAGGAGGGAGGCGTTATCATCGTCGTCAAGCAAGGAGGGAGGCATTGTCGTCATTATCGAGCAAGAAGGGAGGCGTTGTCGTTGATTTCCAGTGAGGGAGGGAGGTGTCGTCGATTTTAGAGAGTGGAGTTGAAATTGAGACAATGGTTGCGATTTCAGACTTCAGAGAATAGAGTTGATTGAGATTGATGGGTGATTTCAAAGAGTGGCTGTGAATTTCAGAGAGTGGTTGCATAGAAAAACTGAAAAATGAATAGATTTAGGGCTTTTTTAACTTGTGAAATAGTGAATCAGTTTATTAGATGGTCCGATTGGACTGGGCATTTTAAACTATTCACCTGGTCTAATAGCAAGTTAAAGCGACCTTTTAAGTATAAACGGGTTTTATATTAACCTAAACTGAACGCACAATCGATTCTCGATCGAATCGATTGAACCGACCAGTCCAATCCGAGTTTTAAAACAATACCAAAGTTTTAAAACATTGGGTAACACTTAAGCACAAATCCAAATATTTTTTAGCAATATTTTACATAGCTTATTATGTAATAACAACGTATTTTGGGAGTATTGCCCAACTTAAGCTGAAATATACTTCGTTTATTATTCTTATTCTTATAGTACTCTAGAAAAAGTAAAACTCAACTCAGAAAGATAATTAATAATATTTTAAGAATTAAGTAAAGTAAAATTTAATTTTGAGAATAAATAATAAAATAGGATAGAGTGATAATAGTGAACAAAGATCCTTATTATGCAATTATTAATGAATAATGCTATACTTACTCACAATTTTATTAACCATCTTATTATCCTTTGTAAATATAACAAATAATATAGATACCATACACATAATACAATTACCATATATAATTTTAACAAAGATAGTAAGACAATTAGTAAAATCGTGACTCGTGAGTAAACATAACATTATAGATTATTAATATTCTTTGCCGCAATCTTTAAAGCTTTTCAGCTAAGAACAAAATCCCACATAAGATCAACTATTCTTTCAGCAAGAAACAATCGAATAAATTTTCGAATGACTCATGACATTATATGTAGTGCAAGAAAACAATTATCCCAATCTGCTTACGGCCTATTGTTTTTACATAACGCTCAAAATAGATCTTTCATCCAGACAGATAAAAACTATAAATTAGTTCCAAAACTGAAAAGTAACCGCTGCTAAAATTAAGGAACAACCATCCCATAGGGATAACATAAAAACACAGCCACTCTGACAACAGATATTGCTTACAGCCTTCTTCCTCTTCTACCACCCTTTCTGCGAGTACTATCAGTGGGAATTGGAGTCACATCCTCTGAAACATGAGATGAGAACAAAATCAATTTACCTCCAAAGCTATGAACATGCGTTCACAAATTTCAACTCATTTATATTCATCAGCAGCTAGTGTAATCTCAAGGTTAACATAGGGTGACAAGTGATTTTAAGTCACTCTTCAGAAGGTTAACAAAAGACAAACAAGAAGAAACCCAATAACACCAGATTTTTGAGTTCATAAAAAGCAAGCACAACATAAACTATTTATCCGATATACTGCAAACTCGTCTACGGTTATCAAGATTGGCCAAATAGTAAATCCAGATTTAGAGGAGATAATTTTTTCAATTGAATTCATCTACAGTTTTTATACCACCGCAATGTAATATTACTTAATTGGTGCCCAAAAGTAAGACAAAATATGAAACACTTCATCACCAGTTATTCATTTTAAGGTTCAAGGCTTTACAGAGACAAATGTAACATTGTGAATTCTATTACTCTCAAAAGTTCATTTAACATGCATTTTTGCACACTTCAAGCATGCAACCCCACAACTAACACACATAAGAAACATAAGCATAACTTATGAATGAACTAATTATAAGAAAAGGTTGTTATACTAATATATAATCTTGCAGTAATAGTCAGTGCAGAGCAAAGCTCCTACCTATGCGACCAATTTTCATTCCAGAACGAGCAAGGGCACGAAGAGCCGACTGGGCACCTGGACCAGGTGTCTTGGTCTTGTTACCACCAGTTGCACGGAGCTTAATATGAAGAGCAGTAATTCCAAGTTCCTGATTCAAAAAGATTGAACTGAGTCTGGGAACTAGGCAATAAAAAAGGGAAAAGAAAAAAAAAATCACTATGACATTATGATGAATCCTAAGTGCCCATCATTAAAGAGCACAACGGCCAATATCTAACAACAAAATATCCGTATTTAAAGAAAACTAAAAGGCACATAGAAAGGAAAAAGGGTAGAAGCCTAGTAAAAATCAGATGAAAGCATCAAAGTAAAAATTAAGACCTTGCATCTGCTTGAAACATCCTGTGCTGCAAGCATAGCAGCATAGGGGGAAGACTCATCTCTGTCTGCTTTCACTTTCATACCACCTGTGCACCAAAGAAGTTAATCTATCAAAATTTGAAATAACAATATCCAAACAGTGAATGAACTACTCAATGCCAGCAAAAAGTACAAAGCATTTCGTGCTCCAAAGTAGCTCATGTGACTCCAAGAGAGTCAAATGAAACATTATAGCAGAGAAATGACATGGCTATACAGTAACCAACAAAGAAATATTGACTAAGATTGGAGTTCAATACGATCATGTCTGAAGTTAGCAACCTCACAAGACATTTCCCTATCCATCATAATTATAGATGTAAATGTACAGGGCTTTAGTGTTTCTTTTCTTGTTCTTATGCATACAAAAAGTATCCAAGCACAACTAAATCCTTCATTTAATAAAAACTAGAATAGAAATTCTAAACATGCACACAATTGAAATAGAACCAAAAATATTCACTTACCAGTGATGCGAACAAGGGTTTCCCTGCCAGACAGATCAGTCACGTGCTGCAGTTCCAAAAACCAGAAAGTATTAACACAGGACTTCCAAAAACTTTATTAACTAAGTGAAACAAAAAAAAAAATTCTTTTGACACTTACAATGAAAGTATCATTAAATGATGCAAAGATGTGGGCAACTCCAAAAACATGCTCTCCATCCCTCACAGCAGGTCCTAGCGTCACATTGTCCTCCTTTGGCTCTCTAGTCTTCTTCTTCGACTAAAGAACCAAAATTATACCAACAAATAAAATGTTAAGACAATCTTACAATTATATCGAAAATTCTGAAGTAACAAATTGAGAGTACAACTCATCCCAAAATATATATATATATATTAAATCTAAACTGAACTATTTCTTACATATTTTATTTCAGACATAACACCACATTTTATATAATCATTAATAAAATCGATTTAATACCATATTCATTCATATAGGCTACGAGTAAAACATTTACATTACAAATAATCTAACAAACTAAAGCTAGTAATGAAAATATGTTAATCTAACAAACTTTTCATTTTCTATTCTCCTCTTACGAAAGAGAACCTAACAGAGTAAATATGTTAATTTATCAACAAAATGCATCACTTTTACCGCAAACAATGAGATCGAACACACACAAAAATAGAAAAAGCGAAAGACAAATATTACCCATCAGATACAAACCGGTAGATTTAGGGTGGAAAAGGAGATTCAAATGACATAGCAGAATATAAAGTAACAAAGTCTGAGAAATTTTGCTTACCATGGCTGCGAAAAGATTAGCTGAGAAAGCTAGGGTTCTTTAGAAGACGGAGTGCGTAACCAAATGCGAAAACCCTATGGAAGAGAGTGAAGTTTGTGGTGGCTACTAGGTTTTATATCGTGAGTAAGATTAGGGTTTTTGCAGATTGTCAAGAATTTACATGTTAGTCCTTAGTTTTTCTCTAAATTTTATAAGGCACCTCGGCTTTATCTTTTGTACCCCTACTCTTTTACTAATTCTTGTATTTCCCTTGTTTAGCTCCTTTTTTCATTTTATGTTTCCATTCTGTGACTATTTTTTATTCTAATTTTGTTGGTTTCAGACTTTCAGTTCCTCCTTCACGTAGTTGACTTGATTGTATCATCACTGCAATGTCCAACAAAAGAAAATATGACCTTAGGATTTTTTTCCAATCTTCTTTTGAGACTCAATTTTTTTTTCATGATAACCAGGTGTCCAAACAAGTTTGTGAGTGCACACCTCAACTGATCCTCAGACCCATTGAATACCCTACAAACTCAATGTTTCAGGTAAAATATGATAAGTGACCTCAAAGTGGTTTGAATCCAAAAAAATCGATGATGGGAATAAATATTCTTGACCGGCTAACCCTTTAGGGTTTTGAGCTTCAATTTTTATAGACGCCAATCCTAAAAAGTTTAAGTGACATGGACCTTTAGAAATCCATTTATTTAAACGCAGATCTGGTAATAAAAAGAGAACCAGATGGGAATTATGAACATCTTCTAACAGACCATAAAAGTAATTTTCCTTGTTCATTTGCTTGTCAAAAAATTACATATAAGACTGAGCTGCTTACTGCTGAAATTGATTTACTGTAATCCGTGGAGCATAACTGCTGGTATTAATATGGCTCCTAGGCTGAAGTTGGAATTACAACAATCCTTCATCCACAAATGTAATCGACAGGAATACTCACCGTGTACACTGTTCTATTGCTTTCCTTTGTTAAAGATCAAAAAATGAATTAAGTTAATCTGTGATTTGCCGTTGCCTAACTACAAAATCAAATGAGGGAAGGGGAAATGCTTCCAGAATTATGCTGATATAAGACCTACGTATCCAGCGAATAAAGCCAACACTGATGACATAACATAAGCGCCTGCAACGATTATCGGCTCTTTGAGACCACATAATTCCAGGTGATGATGAAAGGGTGCCATTCTAAACAATCGACGACCAGCTCCAAGCAAGCGCTTTGTTGTTTTGAAGTACAATACCTAAAACATATTTACAGTCAATAATCAGACCCAGGAGATTTGTGCATTTGAGAGACAGTTACCACCATTCATTTCTTAGTTCAAGCTGTATCATGTCAATGTAATATATGTGTTGAACCCTTCTAGGCAAACTGAGAAAAGAACATAATCATTATAAAGATCAATAAGCTTTTACCCCTACTAGAGGGCATATTTCCATCAACTCGTACAAATTTTGTAGAAGTCTCATGAATGGAGCATACCTGCATAATAACAGACAGAGCTTCTACCACAAAGATCCCAGATGAAACAAATAATGGTAAAAACATTCCAGTACAAGCGGCCATTGCAGCCAACGCACCACCAAGGGCCAAGGATCCAGTATCACCCATAAAAACAGATGCTCTGTATCGGTTGTGCAATAGAAAACCAACACATGCTCCTGCCATTGATGCTCCAAATATAGAAAGCTCTGGTTTGGAATATAAATTTGCAGTTAGTGCTAAAGAACAATCCAGTAAAGGTCTTCAAGTATGTAACTCATGGACTACAAACAATTATAATTGTACTACAAAAAGAAAAACAAACGATTGTATCATTTGGACATCAAACTTCAAAATAACCAAATATTGAACATCAAGGCAATATTTCAATATCATGTCTCAGACCATCATGAACCGCATTATAGTGTTTACAGTAGCATAATGGAGAAGTGATACAGAACCAAGAACCCACACCTTATTATTGTTTTAAGAATGATTCTTCATCAGGAAGCATAATGGTATAGGTGCAAAACTGCAATTATTTAGCAGGAGTTTAGTTATGCAGGAATTGATTGTTCCGCACAGCTCAAATAAGATGAAACTGAGGTGTAATTAAACATACAAGTCATTTAAAAGTGATAGTAAAATTTTGCAGGTCAAGACAATTGCTTTTGCATTAGTTACGTGCTTTATCAAAAAAAGATTGACAAAATGAAAATTTTGTCTACAAATTATAATTTTTTGCAGTATAAGTACAAGAACAACACCACATTCATGCCATGAACCAAAACTTAAAGGTAGGCCAGATTCTTAGTCTTTTTCAAACTTTAAGCACTATACACAAGGCATAATACAAATCTTCAGCATTTTATTAGATATAAGCAAAAGCAACAATAGAGGATAAATTAATTATAGTGTCTTAATCAAACTCTAAGAAGAAGATCCTCTTTTATGTCAAAATGTTAGTTCAAAGAAAATAATTCTAACCTGGACATATTGGAAGCACTGCAACTGACATTCCAATAAAAGCCAGTGCAGCAGTTCCTGCAGCCAGCCCATCAAGACCATCTGTCAAATTAATCCCATTTCCCATGGAAACAAAAGTAAAGGAAGTCAACAACAGATAGAATTTTCCCAAAAACAGAAGGCCAAGTGGGGCAGGTAGAGGAACCAACATTTTCCTGCATACGAAATGAAGATTATCTGAGTAAAAGCAACATTCAAGAAAAAAAATATTCATAGAAAATCCAAACTGCAAAGTAACATTTGGGCACTTATTACAGAGATGTCTGTCATGTGATATATTTTCTACAGGAAACTATACATCAATTTCTAAAAAAGAAAGCTTAACAATTGATTCAATAGGTCTTCAGAAGGGTGCCAATTTTTTTATTTTACTTACATTGTCAATGTTCTTACACCTTTAACAAACTTAACTGCCCATACAGCATTTTCAGAATAAAATGAAATGAGATGTTCTTCATCATGGAACTACTAACTATGTTTTTCTCAAAAATCCACCGTGTTTCCAGCAAAAGTCCACTTTTAAACCCACTTTCAGAACCTCTGTTCACTTCTTTTATTATAGTAATTTTATAAAATATTACACATGCTCTGCTCCAACATCAAACAATCCTTAATGAGATTACTAGAACACTGAATTCCCGCACAGTACTTAAAACTTGGTATTCTGTTGCAAATATGTTAGTTACCATCAGAAAAATGTTGATCAGATTAGTTACAAGAAGCTATACATGCCATATGGAGACGATATATTTGTGGTATTCAACCAAAACGAAAAGCACGTCCCAACAGCTATCTGTAAAGAATCATTACTCAGAGTTACTCACATAATTATCAGCAATTAACTTTTTACATAAGAAGCAGTAAGCCTAGAAAGTTTGGAAACAAAAAAGTAATGACAAAAATTTTTACCTCCAAAATTAATCTTAACCATGCAGATATTCCACTATTATGATTCTTGATGAAGCTTAACATGTCATCAATTAGCCCAATTACAGCAAATGCTAGAGTTGCAGCTGATGCAGCAGAAACTTCAATAGAAAAGTAACCTGCAGTGGCTTTTGCTACAGCCACCCCAATTGGAACAAAAAACAATCCACCCATTGTGGCAGTTCTCTTTTTCCTGGCGTGCTTAGGAGGCCCTTCTTTCCTGATGACTTGACGAATCTTTAGACTTTTAAGCAATGGGACACATATATAACCCGCACAAGCGACTAAAGCTGCTGATATAAAAAAGGGGCGGGTCATGTACAATGGTGCCAAGGGCAGTCTGACGATCTTCCATCCCCACCAATCCACAAATAAAAGCAGCACCGTCAAGAAAGTTATCAGTCCAAGATTGTTAAACAATCCAAGTTTGATCCTGCAATTACAGAGAGTAAAAGAACAAGTTAAACAAAAGAAAATAGTGCCCATTTAAGTGCTGCTTCTCACTGAAACAATCAAATTAAGTCATCCTATATGTTTTACAATTCAGACAAATGACGCAAACCGATTACTAGCATATCAGTTAGCACCACTGAGAGTAAAAAAAAAACTTTTTTTTTTACTCAATGAGGAAGAGGTTCTGGCATTAAGGAAACTACACTCTTGAAGAACAAATCACAAATCACAAAATTCAACATTATTATTTTATAGGTATTTCAGAAAACACTGATCATAATATCTATTTTATCACAAACCACCAAAATAGCCCTCCAATGTAATATAGGAAATATCCAAATAATGCTATCAATAATAACTTATTAAAAGGTAAAGAGTTTGATCAGTAAGTGTGACAAAATATAACAAAAATCAGAGCCATTAAAGTAAGCTTCATAACGAGAATTTGTTGGCCTTAAAAATGAAGGTATAAGCCACAAGATATGATATTATCTTATCTTTCCCTTATGACTTGATTACCAACCCTGGCAAAATGATGCCAAAAATCTGCTGGGCTCGTTGGTTGCAACTATGAGTGCCACCGTTAAGAACCCCATCTGAGGAATATGAGAGTGGAACATTCAAATGTCTACTAGACTATAAAAATTGCACAAGCTTCTAGAGCCAATACATGTTCAACTCTAGTGCAATATGAAATTTGTGCCATAAAGAAAAATGACTCAAACCGTTGTAATGAAAGTTAAGTTTACTAAGTCAAAAGCGCAAATGGCACAAACAGAATTGGTAATATATGGTGAACAAAGCAATGCCAACTTTCCACATCATAGAACAAAATGGTACAACGTCGAACAAATACACAGTTCATTAATACACCTGCCTGTATCTTTTGCGTATTCTCCCCATCATTGCAAGCCTGTATGAAGTTACTCTCAGAGCTTCATCACTTGACGCCGACTTAGTAGGCAAATCAATATCACTCACTGGGTTTAGTACAATTTCTCCATCACTGTCTTCTCCGTCACTAGATGAAAACATGTACCCCGCAGTCCCCTCATTGTCACTCCAGTTGTCAAGTGAAGAAAAACCAAAATCCTATAAAGCAAGAAAATAAAAAGCATTAATGAATGCAATTCAAGGGGAAAAAAAAAGTCCATTATCTCTACTAGCAACTAAGAAGATCATCCATGAAATTGTCCTTGTTTAAATTCAAACTACAGTATTAAGTTTTTGTTT